TGGTGCATTTCTTTTCATCCTGTTCTCATTCCAATCCGAGCTATCTCTCTCTCTCCCTCTCTTTCTCCCCCCCCCCGCAATGCACGCACACACTCACACTGTTTTTTTGGAACCATCTAAAAGTAAGCTGCAGACATGATGCCTCATTACCCCTAAATACTTCAGCGTATTATTCTCCATTACAAGGATATTTTCTTATACAACCACATACAATTTTTAAAACAAGAAAATTAACATTGGTTTAATGCTGTTATCTAACCTAAAATCTTATTTAAATCTCTCCAATTGTCTAAATAAAAGATATTCAATTTTAACTGCCTTAAGTCTACAGAAGAAGCATAAGTACTGCCTAGCATGGAATAATTGGCCCATAGATGGCACTATTGCAGCCTTACTTCTCCTAATTATTTATGTGGTACCTTTAAGAAAATACATGAAAGAAAACGGGAACTTGGTTCTCTCTAGCACTATCTTTCTATCAGGTCTTTCATTAGTAACGTAAAATGTCTGGTCTTCAGTTTCCTTAGCCATGTAATGAATAGATTATAGAAGATTATCTCTGAGGAGCCCAGTGGTTCTAGACCTCCATAATTCATGACAGTGGTTTCTGCTTCCGTATTTTTGTATCAAGCTGAATTCTAGCGCCATTTTGAGGCTCCTTGTTAATAGCTGGGTTCATTGTGTCAAGGATAGGGTGATGAAAGGCACAGTTTTTGAGCTCAAGGTCCTTGCAAGTTACTATAGGAACTCACATGCAGGGTTGTTGCTGTGGCGGAAGCAGATGAGCAAAACCTGTCCTCTCTCTGCTCAAGGAGTTTGACACAATATACTGATTGTGGAACTTCAACTTTCAAAACTGAAAGTTACTTAAAATTTACATTTGCAGCATTTTCCTTCAGGGATATTTAAGTACGAAGAGCAAAAGATAACTGCTAGAATGCTTTTAAGCAAAGTAGGTATTTCCCTCGATATACTACTTAGATTCAAAACAGAACAATTTAAAAGGAGAGCTAGAACTTTTAGTTGTTAGCTCAAATGAAGAATTGCCAATTTGATTTGTTAGACCAAGATGCTCTCTGGGGCTCAAAGCTGTCAGAAAGGAGGTGTTTGTTCCTCTAAAATTTCAAGATTAAGATTTTTATCTCCTTAGATAGATAATGTATGGAATGAAATCCATAAGCCTAGACCATAGGTGTCAGCTTTGAAATCCCTATTGGGGTAGTGCGGTTCCCATAGACAGATGGAAGTCTATCATCTCTTGGTAGGGCCTCCCCATCCATCTTCTTCTTCTTCTATTATTATTATTATTTTTATTATTATTATTATTATTTAAATTGGGGAACAGTGTGTTTTTCCAGGACCCATCAGCTCCAAGTCAAGGAGTTGTTTCAATCTAGTTGTGGAGGGAACAACTCAGTGGCCCATGTGGGAATCGAACCGGCAACCTTGGTGTTATGAGCACTGTGCTCTAACCAACTGAGCTTGTCGGTGGGCCTCCCCCCCCCCATCCATCTTCTTTGAACTTTGCTTTTCTCCCTCTCTTTCTTACATCTCACCCCCATTTACAGGTGTTTTATTTTGCATGACAGGTAATAACTTTCTTGGGTACTACCTCATTCTCCTTATGTTGAAAATTTCAGTTAATAATTTTCTCTGTCATCCTTCCAGGCAATTGTAGAAATGAACTTATTTAACGTGGCTCTTTGACAGCAGAGGAAGGAGGAAGGAAGGGAAGGAACGACAAGATGGTTCTTCTTCCTGGTACTAAAAATGCTCTGGGATGATATCTATACAATCAAGGAGGATGATACTCAAAAGTGTTTAATAATCAGTACCACATAGAACCCAATTGTCTAATCAGAATGAATGCAAATAACAGGGCTGGTTCAGGTTCCTGGAAGCCTCCTCCTGTGCCACGTGTACCTCTTTGTTTGCTAGATCAAGAATAGGAAAGGTGCAGCTCCAGGAAGCAGATGTTATAACCCAGCATTTTAATAATGGATGTGGCTGTATCTATGCACATTGGCTGATTATTAGGTCTGCACTCAATGGTTTCATGATATAATCCCTCCGAATCCTTTCTTCTCCCATGTCAATAATCACTTACAAGTCAAGGCAAATGATGCTTCCTTATGGGTGAAAGGGGAGTGGTGGATTTTATTAGGTGTTTTAAAATTTTATTATGTTGCTTTTGACATGCAAATACTTTATAGTTTTATATAACCATAAATTTTTAATTTATGCTTTTGTTGCATTGCCCTTATGCTATAAAGACATTCCTCATGTATCAGCTAAATATTAAACTATATTTTCTATCAGTTTATTAAAGATGATATAATTTTTAAATTCAACTTTTTGTTTGCTATCTATTTTAGTTTTTGATATTATGTGCAGCTCTAATCTGCTTTTTATCCAAAGATCCAGTCTTAACATCATCCTTTGAAAAATGTGTGATTTCCCCATGGGTTGGTATTATATTATTTTTTCATGTTTTAGGTTTTTCTATATGCTGTAAGAGTTATAAGAGTTCAAGAGTTATCTATTTTGTTCCATTAATTGGTCTTAATTACCATTGATTCACATGCATTACTCTCTAGGAGCAGAATAAAATGCCCCTCTGGAATTGTACAATATAGCTGCCTTGTCTAGAAAAGAGTGACAGTGTTGAATTTACCTGAGCCTGTGCTCCTGGAAAAGAGCAAAGGTTGATAAAATTTCCATCCTTTGTGTTCCAGACATGGCTTGCAACAAAGAAGCACTTGTTCCCATATATGTCATCATATTATATAAGACTCAAGGATGTTATAGGGTTTTTTTAATTTACCTTATTTACCTATAACGAGGTCACAGGCAGATCCCCAAATTCGCATTCATGAATGATCAACTGAAGGATTTTGTCTTGATCAAGGGGAACAAATGCTTGTTAATCAACATTTGTTTTAGATTCTTTCCTTCCTGCAGGCTGCTGAACCTTGACCCGTTCTCAACCTGAGCCAGCATACAATCTCTAACAGCCTCTCCAGAGAACAGGCCGGCCTCAGGATTAAAAAATGCTCCAATTCCATGCTCTTTCTCCACTACTCCACACTGGGTTCTTACTAGCCTGTTCATTCCTTCTATAAAGGAGAAGCTTGCAGATCTTATGGTAGAAGTTCTCGCTATTGCAGTAAACCTTTTTCCTCCTTGCAATTACCTTTTCAATAAAATATATCCTTACTAAATCTGGATTTGTTTTTTATTTGAAAGGATCCACTTATTGCCTTTTATTACAAATGTCTTCTTTCCTCTTGTCATATATTTATAAGAAAAAAATATTTTGCTAAATCTGGCCCATACTCGATTTAAGTTTTTAAAATACTTTATTGAGGCATACATAGTTTATATATAATTACTGCATCCATTCATTTAAAGTAGACAGTTTGATAAGAATTGGTCATTTGTATTTGTATAACCCCATGAAACTTCCACTATAATCAATATATGGAACATTTCTATCGCCCCTAAACGTTTCCCTGAGCCAACTTGCATGCAACCATTTTTCTGCCCTTGGCCCCAAGCAAACACTGATCTGTTTTCTGTCACTATAGATTGGTTCACATTTTCTAGAATTTTATTCATGTGGAATCATACACTGTATCTGACTTCTTTCACTCAGCATAATGATTTTTTTTGGATTCAATGACATTGTTACATGTATTAATAATTATTCCTCTTTTTCTGTTGTTGTTTTGTGTTATTCCATTAGTATGGACATAACTACATTTTGTTTATCCACTGGTTTATTGATGAACATTCATGTTTTTTCCCCTCGGGTTTTGGTTATTACACATAAAGCTACTAAGAACATTCAAATACAAATATTTGTGTGAACATATGTTTTCATTTCTTTTGGGGAGGAGAAAAAGGGCTAGGTCCAAAGGTAGGTGTATATTTAACTTTTAAGAAACTGCCATAGTAGTTGTACCATTTTACATTTTTATAAGTAGTGAATAAGCGCCATTTAGGTTTCCACTAACATTATATGCTGTAGTAGTCCCACCCTTATCCATGGCTTCGCTTTCTGTGGTTTCAGTTACCTGAGATCAACTGCTGTTTGAAAGTATTAAATAGAAAATTCTAGAAACAAACAGTTTATAAGTTTTAAATTGTGTGCTGTTCTGAGTAGTGTGATGAAACCTCATGCTGTCCTGCTCCAACCCACCTGGGATGTGAATCATCCCTTTGTCCAGCATATCCACTCTGTATGTGCTACCTGTCCTCTAGTCACTTAGTAGCCATCTCTGTTATCACATTGGTTATGCGGGGGGCGTGGGGGGAGAGAGAGAAAGTTTTATTGCAGTGCATTGTTATAATTGTTGTATTTCATTATTGTTAATCTCTTACTGGGCTTAATTTATAAATTAAACTTTACCACAGGTATGCATGTATAGGAAAAAACATAGTATGTATATATGTATAGGGTTTGGTACTGTCCATGATTTCAACCAGCCACTGGGGGTCTTAGAAAGTATCCCCCATAGACAAGGAGATCTACTGTAGTTTGGAAGGAAACAACATGTTTACTATTCTCAGTTTTTCTACAAATACTTATGCTACGCAGTTATCAAAATCTTTCATATCACCCAGGGAAGTTTTATTTCTTTTCTTCAAATAGGACTTGCTCACTTCTGATTAGGGTTAATCCTAGGTATTTTATGTTCCTATTATGAAAGGGAACTTTTTTTAGTTTTATATTTTAACTGCCTACAATTGTCTCTTGTAAAAAATATCTTTATTTTTCAGAATGGTTTTTGATTTATGGAAAAATTGTGAAGATAGTATAGAAAGTTCCTTTTATTAAAAACTGGCGAGGCACTCCAGTTTCCCATTATTAATATCTTACATTATTATGATACATTTGTTACAATTAAGAAGCCAGTATTAATACATTACTGTTAACAAGGGTCCATATTTTATTCAGATTTCCCTTATTTTTACCTAACGTCCTTTTTCTGTTTCAGGATCCCATCTAGGACATCATGCTACATTTTGGAATCATCTGCCCTTTGGCTCCTCTTGGCTGTGAGAGTTTCTCAGAGTTTTTTTTTGTTTAAAGATTTTTTTTTTTTAATTGGGGAATTGGGGGATGGGAACAGTGCTGGGGAATTGGGGGAAGGGGAACAGACAAGTTGCTGTCGTTTTGTTTTTCAAATCTAGTTGTGGAGGACATTGCTTCACTGGCCCAAGTTGGCACCATCATTGCGCTCTTCCCGGGTGAGGCAGATCAGTCGCCGGCTTCTGGACGGCCGCTCACTGCGGCTGCTGGCCGCTCACGCTGGCTGCTGGCTACACACGGTAGCCCATGGCAACCCACTGTCACAGGGGCTGCAGCCTACATCGTCGCCGGTGACTCACGGCAGCCCAGCTCCAGGTTGAGCTGTTGTTCAGCATCTTAGCTGTGGAGGGCAGTGTCACTGGCCCTCATATGTGGGATCCGAACCGGGGCCCTCTGGCGTCCCAAGCCAGTTCCCAACCATCGCGCCACTCGGTCGGCCCATTGGTTTTTTTTTTTATGACCTTGAATGTTTTGAGGAATACTGGTCAAGTGTTTTGTAGAATGTCCCCCAACTGGAATTCATTTTATAGTTTTCTTGTGATTAGACTAGAATTATGGGTTTTTTAGAAGGACGGGTACAGAGACCAATTGCCATTTTGATGAGATCATCTCTAGGGTACCTTCTACTGGCTGACAAACCAAGGAATATGTGTTATACTAACTTGTGTATATATACATTTCTATACATATGTCTCTAGATAACCATCTATATTCATATTAAGCTGAACAAAAATTTATACTGATGTTGCCAATTCTGATCCATTACCACATGTTCATTCAAACTTCCAGCTCTTGCTTATCTGTGAACTCTCAGTGAGAAACCCTGCTGCTCCCACCATCTGCTGTCCATTTACTTAACTGTTCAATTTCAGTATACATGTAGAGAAGTATAAGAATTACAACAAAGACAACTACCATGTTAATAAAATGTTGTATTTGAACAGCCCCTTTCCCCCCAAAAGAAATTGTTAACCTGTACTCTTGTAGGAAACAATTTTATCAACTCGAGTTCAATGCTTATGTATAGTTAATTTTGGTTTTAGTTTCACAGACTGTACTCATATCCTACAATTGTCATTTGACATTAGGAAATCTTGATTTTTGCTTATCTGTCTTATTTATGGTCATATTACTGAAACTTCATATTTATTGTTATTGATCCTTAGAATTTTTCTGTTGATTGTCTTGGGATATATATTTATATTTACATTTACATTTATATTTATATTTATAAACAAATATATATGAGGTCAGACAACTAAATTCGAGAACTTTCCACTGTGTAAGTGCACATGTGTTTGTCGTGTGTGTCGTGCATGTGTGTGTATGTTGTATATTGGTTTAATGTGATTTCAAACCCACTTATTGGTCACTTAAGTGAAGTTGTTTTAATTCCTTGTTTATGACAAAGACAAAAAAAGTTGGTTTTAGAAGTTGTTTTGATATAAAAATGAAGTTGTGTCAGGAGGTCATTATCTACAGCAACAGATAATGCTGTTGTTGATAAGCACTCAGCAGCTCAGCTGCTAAGGGGTTCCATGGGGGCTTACCAATAAGAACATGTGGAGAAGCAATTATGGCAAGGGGACATTTAGACTCTAAATACTAAAAATTTGTGAGGACTATTTGACAGTTGGGTAAGGCACGCTTTGCTAACTAACGCAGTTCTCTGAAGATCTTGAGACACTTGCTCCTGCTGTGGCCAAGGCGACTCTTTGGTCAGCCATGGTGTTAAACCACACACAGTCTCAGGAAGAGAAGCGACATCTGTTTCTGCCTTGGTGCGTCAGTGGTGCAAGCTGAGCACTGGTTTCTGGAGTGAAAACCCTCAGGGCATCCTGCCATGACCACCCACACCAGCACCTTTGTCCCCTAGAAACGTGCTCTAGCGACAGAGGACTTTCGTTTTTGCAATGGCTTCTGAAGTCAGCTCCTGGTACATTAAGCTGACTCTCCCAAGAAACCAAGCTCATATAAAAGGTACACCTTAAACTGAATTTGGACTTGATTTCTTTCATCTCCCCTTGCCTGGAACAAGTGTGATTAATCTGTTATTTGTTTGGAGTATGTTATTTTTTTTTACCTGGATTATTTAGAGAGATTATTTTGTATGCTCTTGACTTGTGAAACTCCTGCTATAGTGAGTCTTTGTTAAATAAATTGCTGCAAAGATAAAATCAGTCTCTGAGCATAATTTTGATGCCCAAAACAAAATAAAACAAAACATAAATTTTCAACACTATTATTTTGTATTGTAGTGTGTGCCTTTAGAAATCAGGAAGGTAATGTCTGTTACTGACCCATGTTATAGAAATGCCAAAATTACAATTGTATTTGTGGCCAGTAAATAGTTAGAGACTGTAAACATTGTTAAATTGTCTTAAGATAAAGAAGAGAGAATATTTATTTTCTACATACCATGGAGGTACAAAGAAGAAATTGTTTTGTTGGAGACTGTTAGTCTAAAAATAAAAGGCATTTTTTCAAAGTGAGAGGCAATAAGCATTTATTTGAGATGAAAAAGAATAGCTATTTGAGAAGCATTGATTCAGGCAGAAGCCCAAATAATGTTCTGATTAGGAGACAAAGGAAATACGTATTTATGAGAAAGGGAAGGGGGACAATTACATGGATAGAAGGAAGGCATTTCTATTGGTGCAGAAAAGCTAACACAGTGATTCTAATTCTAAACAGGGTTTTTAATTTTCAGTCTGGTAGTCATCAGACTGGTAGCCATAATGTCTGCTGTCTTGTTATCTTTGCAAACAGTTCTTTGGGACACAATGTTGTTTTAGGCACAGCTCAAACGTCGTTTTGTCCTGTTTTAACATTCCCAAGTTTTGAGGCGTAAGACATGTAGGGAGCAGTTCCTCTGGGGTGGCAGCTCCAGCTCCATTTTAAAGTGACTCCATCTATTATTATTGTTTTACAAGACTATCTGGGAGATTTTCTCTTATTTACATTTATATATATGTTCTTTTTCTTACTATCATAATTCTTTTGTCTTTGATGTTTATTTAAATTGAGAAAGATGATCTCAGTGATAATCAGTAGTTCAACTACAAAGTTTTTAAGTTAATTTCCCAGGAATGTAATATTTAGCTGGGAAGCTTGGATGACTTCAAAGCTTATTAAACATTCATATTAAAGAAAATTGTCCTTTTTTCACTTGTTGTAAATATTTGTTAATAGAAACTGAATATGCTCACCCAAACCTTCAGTTGACCATTCACTTGTAAATTATTCCAAAGTCTAACACAAAGTGTAGAAATGGTAAGCTTGGTTTCTTTGATACTTAATGGATTTGCTAGAAAAATAAGGGAATAGTGTTAAATTATGGTGACAGTAATCTGGTTTTAGTTTTATGTAAATGGGGTATGTTACACTTTTAAGTTTGACATTGTCTATTTATTGGTAATCTTCTATCACCATTTAATTTAAAGATAGGTAGCTACTAGTTGTATTCTTCTTTTTGTAGTTCTCTGAGGATTTTTTAAAAACAGAACTTCCATTTAAAACAATAATGGCTATTTATTTAAAATTCTTTATTAAAATTTTCATAGGAATTTTCTTATTGGACCTACTATACAATAAATTTTATATATAGATTTTCTGATATGAAATAATCTCCTATTTCCCTGATACACTCTGCTTATAGTTCATGAGTCAATTAATTACTACTAAGACAGTGTACTAATATTTTACTGAGATTTTATATTTATAAATGTCAATGGTCTTTTGTGTACTATTTCTGTCAAGTTTTGGCACTGGGATTTTGCTAGCTTTATAAAATAAGTTGAATAGCTTTCCATATTTTTATAATAGTTTTAATCAGAAATAATCCATTCTTTGATGTTTGAAATTATGTACTTGCAGACTCACTTGAGCCTAAAATATACTAGAGGTAATTTCTTGATAATTTTTTCATAATATTGGTCTATTCAGGTCATTAGTATTTTCTTGTGTCAAATTTTGAAATGAAAATATCCAGAAAATCACCAGGACAGCCAGAAGCCTTGATATATTGAATTAATATAAAATACAGGTTTTGAAAGTAGCCCAGTACTTTCTCAGTTGGTCTTCTTTATACCTAATATCATTGACTTCTAGAACTACTTATATATATTTAGTGCTTTGTATAAGGACACAGACAAATATCTTTGTGAATCATTCCAATTTATAAATTCTTAAATAATTACTAACTATGTGACCTTGGCCGAGTTACTTAATCTCTCTATGCCTCAGTTTTTTGTTAAAGTGGAGATAATTATAATGATTACCTCATAGGGTTATTGCTAAGATTATATGAGATAGTGCATATAAATTGCTTATTAGTATAGTGCCTCATAAATTGAAATTTTTTCAATGAATGTGTTTTTTCCTAAAACTAATTAAACTATTAATGAACTATTAATTAAATTATATTTTCCTAGACTAACAATTATATCTGCCAAATTCTTGGTAGGTATTTAGACATTCTAGTTTTAATCATAATGCATCATATTTTTCCTATTCAATTTTAATATTTACTTATTGCCTCATCTCAACATCTTGAGAATTTAGATGATTATAAATGAGAATATAAATGAGAATTTAGGATTAAAAAAGAATGAAGAAAAACAAAGGAAAGGAGACTTATGGTCGTAATGAATTATTGCTGTGGAGAGAATGTCCCCCCAAATAGGATCATAGTACACTAAAAAAAAAATCTATACCTATCTGTGTATAAGCTAACAAAAATAGAATAATCAATTTGAAAAGATGGAGGAGAGAAATATTGATTATATTCTTTTCTTATGATAAAAATCATTACTCAGGGTAAATTGCAATGGTTCTCAACTTTGGTGTTCATCTGGACTTCCTAAGGAGTGAGCAGATTCTGCTTTATTAGGTTGTAAGTAGAACCTAGGGCTTCATCAAATCATTATGAATGCTCCAGAGAGAATTCTCACAACTGCAATGACTGAGAACAA